TAGAAGACAAACACAGCTTTTCTTATAGTAATTTTAAGTTCAAAATTGGATGAAATTACATATTAAATAATCAAGAATATCAGTTTTAGTTATATTGCTGTAATTTAAAAATATTATTTGTGGATACTTACATTTTTAGAGCATACTTTATATTTTAATTTTAATAGTTAATTCGTTAATGACTTATATTAATACTTTACATTATAAATTGTATATACTTTTTATGAATGACTGAGTGAGTCGGGTACATAATGAATCTGATTTGATTAATTTGGAATTTATTTTATAGGTACCTATATTTTTTTTTTAAAATAATAACAATATAATTAATATCGTATAGCGCATATCCTAGACTGACAAAGCGTCTCCACTCAGAATTGTTTTTCGTTTATAATGATATTATATCATTGAATTTAAATTTAATTCCATCCATTACAGTAACCCACTTGTAACAGCTACTGTACAACAGAGCGACATYTACTTACCCGCTTTTTTATAAGTTTTTTACTTTTTTGAATCACAACATCACATGGTTTTTATTTTGAAAGCAGAATATTTTTCTGGATATTTTGATACATAAAAATCGAATATAGGATGAGTAGTTAGTGAGTTATAACTTATAAAGTTATAASAGTAGGTATTTAACGTTTATAGAAGAATGGAATAGTGGATGAATGTATTGCGGAATGCAGACTGCAGAGTATATAACCGCGTATCATTCCACTCCACTTATCTAAACATTAAATACATATAACTCAAACTTGTCCTAAATTCGATTTTTATACACTAAAATAGGTACCTACTTAGAAAAATATTTAGCTTTGGAATATGAAATTTAATTTGTACGTTTTCATTCAAAGTTCAAAGTAAACATTTAAAAAATATTTTCTTTAAGTTTTTTAACGAATAGGAATCACGTAAAAAAGGTTTTTCAAAAAAATGTATACTTTTTGAAATAATAATTGTTCGTAAGAGATAAGAGTATGAACCGGTATATATAAGATATTACTATGTTCATGTATTCTCGTACAGTCACACTGCATACATACATACATACATACAAATTATCATAAGCGCATTTTAAGAGCAGTTTACTACTTAAATTAGTTAAATTTATAATAA